CCCTAGAGGATTCACTTCTCAAATTCATCCCTCATCTCCAAAGATACACAATAGTACGGTAAGCATCATATACGTACTTCAGATGTAATCTACTCTAGTTCGCTTCCCATTTCAACACAGTAAATCATATGGAGATACATTTTGTAAAACAATCTGCAAATAGGTATATTGTTTTAAACTAGTAAAACCACAGTCCTTAAAATAGGACAATGACTGCACAGTAATTATGCAAACTGTAACTTGTGACACAAAGGAATACTACTAATTACAGAGTTAAATTCTAATTTAAGCATTTGAACATTAATACAAATACCTAAATAAAATGCAAGTAACAGGACCAGGGAAATCCTATCTATGCTATGGAAAGAACTGCAGGAATAAATTAGCATTACAGTTACAATCACGAAAAGATCATGGCTAAACCCTGACTTTGTTATGAATACACCACAGTAGTAAAGCTTGAATGAACATTCTTCAGATAGCCACAGTCCGTCAGTAATTCTTGGTGAGCGAAAAGGGCTTATGATACAAAGTTTTGTGCAAAAGACCCTCCATAAAGAGAAAGCATTTGCGTAGGAGTGACTTCAACATAATTTGATAAGCCACAAGATCCTGTATGTTAGTATAAACACATCCCCGCTCTTCGCTAAAATTAGAAATTGACATCTATGTTTCAGAACTAAAAGAACCAAAATGCCATTTAATTCACCATGGATTTTCTGTCATGCTATTGCCAGAATGTAACTGCCTATATCAAACCAAGTACATCTGAATTTATAGTCAGGTGCAGAAAACAGAGCAATGCTGAAATAGATCATAAATAAGCTCTCTGGTGTCAAGGGTTAGGGCCGGGCTGGCCACTAAATGAATGACAGATGCTTTCAAATAACCCCTCTGCCTCCCCAAATGGGAAGGGAAAGGGAAACAGGCAAAGACTTACAGATTGGAACAGAAAACAAAAACAGCTTTAATGAAAGAACAATAGTACTAACAACAAAAGTATGAAAATAACAAAACTTATACAAATATATACAAAACTGATATCGAACCCAACTCCCTCCACCAACAGCAATGCCCACGGACGCTGCAGAGCGAGCAGCACTGGGGAAGCCCCAGGCTGGATGGCAGAGGGTAACAGGATACAGGAGCCGGATTTGGGAACTCAGAATGGGGATCAATGGCAAAAGGACAGACAGAGTACTCCTCGGATGGTGCCCACTGAAGAACAGCACTTAACCCTCGCAATCCCTCAGCTTTATACTGAACATGACATATATGGAATGGAATACTTCGTTGGTCGGGTTTGGGGTCACCTTTCCTGTCCGCTCCTCCCCAGAGGGGTGATCTTTGTACTTCTTCACAACACTTTCACTTCTTGGCACCCCCAAGGTGTTACACAAGATTTAGCAGTGACCTTAGTTACTACAGGATCAAGTATAAGCAAGAGCCTTTCTGCATCCCAATCCCTGATAGGGCCACAAACATCAGGTGATATCACCTCTAGAAGCAGAAATTGCAAAAATCATAGAATCACAGAATGATTTGGGTGTGAAGGGACCTCAAAGATCATCTAGTTCCAATCCCCCTGCCATGGCAGGGTCATGCCACACACTGTCAACTTCAGAAGGTGCAGTCTCTTAGAAGAGACTGAGCTGGAAAGTAAAATCACTACACAGAATTGATTCTGTTTAGCTGAAATCAGGGTAATTGGGAAAATGCATCTCTTTGTGTTGGACTGTAGAAATAAATTGTAAAGGAATGCATACCCAGCTAAGAATATGCCAGAAGTTTTCTGTTTTTTAACTGGAACTATTACAGAGTAAATAAAAATCAGCATTTGGGCTGGTTTTTTTTGAACTAGGTTTTGCCTTCTCTCTACCCTCCCCCCTTTCTCCCCTGCACTTACCACGTTATCTGGAAACTTTAGATGTCTAAATCAACCTCAGTGCCTCAGTTATTCTGTGAAAGCAGTCAGGCAAATACATTATTAAAATATCTTTAACTGTATCCTCTAGTTACAATAACTGAAGGGAAAAAAAAAGAAAAAAGAAAAAAGGGATAGTTGATTTAAGTTTTGCAAGAGTCATGTAAATACCAAAGGTGCACTAATGCTCTATTCACAAGAGCTAAAGAAGCCTTGTGTGGGTCATAGCAAACCAGAGCCATGCCAAATATTTACTGAAACAGGAATACTCCAGCTAGTTTTTCTCACAGTTGTAGCAGGTAATGCTCTGGTTACTGACTATGTAGTCATGTAAGTCATTTTCTTTCTTCAGAAGTAAATCCTTTATGGGTCATACACAAGCGCTCAGTACTCTGTATGAAAGCCTACTGTGAAGGTACACTGGAGTTCCAGTGGACAAACTTTAAGAACCTTTCTGCTCTCTTCCATAAGAGAAAACTGATAAACATCTGGTCTTTGGAAATTACTTTGTGATGTTTGGATTTTGTACCAGCAAACTACTCTCACACACTGTGGTGTATCATCACATGATACTGTACTTTTCCAAGAAAAACCTAGTAAAATGAAAATACTTCATTACTGTGAACTCTTGTTTCTTAAAAGTTACATAATTACTGTGCAATCTCTTATAAGATCTTATTTATTTCAGCTTTAATTATTCACTTCAATGAAAGGTTTCTTTCATAAAATAAATCTTTTCATTTTAAAAAATATAAGTCTTCTTTTCTTCACTGTATATATATTGTTTACCACTTGCCAAACTGTTATTTCACATATGTGAAAAGAAAACTGGACTGAAGACATATGAAACAAACTATTGGCAAAGGAAGTGCAAGGGCTTGCCATTGAGAAGATTAGATTCACAAGAAACGCCTTTTACCTTTTCCAAAATCAACAAACGTATTATAAAAAAAAGCAACTCAAAACCAAACTCATAAAAAAGAGAAGAAAAGATTTGTGTGAAAGGAGAAGGGATTTTTCAGGTAACTCTGAATTTCCAAGTTATTTAAATTGTTCTGGAGACTTGCACATTCCAACGGTATATTCACTAGAACGCTCGGGTTTACTACACTGAGTAAAGAGAGAAAATTATGAAGTACTGTTCTTATTCAAGTCCATATTCTCCACTTGTTTAGCACGACTGAAAACCTCTGATTACATCACCAACAATTCTGATAGATTTTTTTGGAAAGAACACTTAGGTTCTGCAACTTTCATTACTTGTATTCTGTCTTGCTTAGTCCACAGCCTACAATATAATCTATTTCAGCCTGCAAGGTAAACTGTATTTCCTTAATTTGAGATCAATGTATTTAAAAGCAAAGTTTTGACAATCTGTATGACTTACAGCAGACTAAGAGAGTTAATTTCAAACAGGAATTTATTGCACATGCAATGTTTGCATCTCTCTAGTTCTCAGCTGTGGTAGAAAACTGCCTTCAGCCAAATACATGCTTCTAAAATTTTAAATTGAATTATTTCATTAAGCAGTTTCATCTCACCAAAATTCCATATATTCCTCTCCCAGAAAACTTTTGTAGGTGCAGATGGAGCAGTGGCAGATAGGGCAGACATAAGTCAGGGAAAAAAAGTATTGTAAAGCTGCTACAGAACTTCACTATTCTAAAGAAGTAATTTCTGAAGTTTATTATAGTTACCACCTATAATACTTCAGATTATCAATAACCTACTGCTAAAAACCACATTAAACTATACAGATCAACTATTTTATGTTATTCCTTTCCATAGCAGCTCAACTATGGAGCCAAAACAAGTTTACATTTCTTTCAACTCAACAGCTGAAATACAAAAGCAAACAACACACACCCTTATGAAATACTCACTTTTAAAAAGCTAGTAATTTTCTCAGTTTTTCAAAATTTTACAGGTGAAAAAACAATGAAAGTGAGATCAAACTCCCTAACAAAAACCATCCGAGAGCAGCAACAAAACTTGGATAACATTCAAAGATCCCTGATTGCTCCTATTCTGCTAGAAATGCACATTCCTTTCTAAACTCAAAACAAAAATAAAATATGTGAGAAGATTTGACAAATGAAACTGTCCTTTTATCTCTGTCACAACCACAAATTTTGGTTGAGACGTAGTTATTATGCAGCAAGTCACACTTCTGCACCATAGTGCAAAATACTGTCAGATTAGAACATTTAAATGTCTTATTAGCAGAAATTGCTGCCTTTCAACTCTGTTTTTTCCTCACCCTTGGTAGCTCTCAGAAGATCCTAGCAGGTATAAACACGCTCTCTTAATTACAGAACTGGATTACTGTTGTAAGCGATTCCCAGTTTCAGCAAATTATAATCAAGTACCCATTGTGCACAACCATCATTTAATGGCCAAAAAACCATAATAAAGAAAGCTTTAAAGAAGAAAGCTGGAAACTTGCCCAAATTTTATGGCAGTGCACTCAAACAGAAAGAGTTACAATCTGTATTTAAGATTAAGAGAACCTTTTAATCCAGATGGCCAGAATTAAACAAGGCAGCGTAGGGAAATTTTCATCAAAAGCTAGTACAACATGAAAGTACCAAAATTCCCCCAGTAAACCACTGCTAATTATTTCAAACAGAGATCGCACATTCGTTTTGGGCTGAAGAACTCTGAGGAAAATGCAATACGAATGTGTTGCTTTCTGTGGGACATTTCACATATCCACCAACTTCCTTGACAAAAGCGCAGAACGGTTTAACTGCAAGAAATAGATTTGCTGGCATTTTGGGGGGGCAATATTTGGACAGGTAAATAACAAAATTTTAAAGGAGTTTGCAAAACTAATCACAAATGATTTCAGATTAGCATACACACAGTTTTAAGTTACAGCTGAGTAAACTCCAGCTGCTGCAACTGCAACGTGAAAAGGTCCTTTGTTTCTGTATTGTATTAGTCATAGAGATGACAACCAAGTTTCAATTTGCTCTCCTCTCCCTTTAAGTCGCTTGGAACTGCTGACACGCTACTCAGTAATAGTCGCTTTCCCCGAGTCATCTCCCAGTCAGCAGAGAGGATGTGAGATTTCCTATTTTGCAGCAGGCCCACTCTGCAGGGGCTGCTCATCGTTACACACTCGCCGCTGGATGTGTGCGAACAGGCCGGTTACCGCACAGCTCCTGACAGCATCCCATTTGATGAGTCGGAACTGGATCATCTGGTATCAAGAGCCAGTAAATGGTTAGCCAGCAAATTGTCGAGTGTTTCTAAACCCCTAAAACTACAATTATTCTTCGGCAACTGAAAAGTAAAAATACCATTTTCCCATAGAGCAATATCACAGTGAGAGGGTTTGGCATTCCATGACTCCCTGTGGGTTTTACACAAACACTGGAGTAGAAGAATATACAAGGAAGATCGTTTCTCGGCTCCTCTAAAATAAAAAATATCATTTGCAAAGGTTTCTTTTCATTTTGATGAAATAAAATCTCTGTAAATTTATTAATGAATTAGAAATTTCGGAGTCCAGTCGAGCCCTGCTAAAAACACCTAGCAAGACCCTATTTTGTACACCTACTTACTCTTACTCTGACACTTACACCCATTTCTTTGGTCTTTTTGCTAAGTCTAAGACAGTGCTGAATCATGACAAATTGCCCTGTCACAGTTACAAGTTAGGAATACTGATTCAGACAAAAAAAATAAAAGGAATCCCTGTCAGGATCTCTGTAACTGAGCCAGTGGGCAAATCTTGTCATGCTGCTTCCCAGCCCCTTGTTCCCTTCCTTGGCCCCACAACCCGTAATTTCTGCTCTCTGATGCTGCTCTGGAGGACCAGGATGTGATCTGGTTCTTGAGAGTGACTTTTTGCTCTTGCTTAAGACAGTTTTAGTTGGATGTTGATCACTGGATCTTTGATTTGTATTTTTCCATTTGAGCAATTTCTGACAGCAGTAACCTTTGAAAGTCTCCCAGACTCCCTTAAATTAAGAAGAACTTGCAAAATCTGATCAGTCTATGTCTCTGTACTGATGTCCAGACTTATGCTTTGTAATTCTGCTATTTACATGCAGATATTGAAGGCAGCTTCAATTACCTCCTGCTCCCAGTCACAGACCAAGGTCTGCTTGGTTGCCCAGGGCAGCACAGCACCACAATAGCTCTCAATTCTACTGATTAAAGGAGTTCAGAAAAACTTGCTGAGAACTTAACTGATATGCACAGGTTTGACAGAAGAGTGAAAACTAAGGCTGAAACATCTGTCTGACACCCCAGGCAACAGGTTCAGATTGGCTACGTAACATTCTGCCATTTCTAAATGTTGCGATTTTCCCTGTGAGCTCACTCAGGTTTAATGAAATATTACTGACATGAATCAAAATCAGAAAATATATTCCAGAAACTGAACACAATGGGAATTCAAAGTTGTACTTCTGGTGATATCAGGATCTCCTGGATTATTTGCAGATAGAACAGCAGAAAGTAAACCTTGTCCAAAAGCAACAATGAGAGCTTTTATGGGCATGCAACTACTATCCCCTTGGGGCAACGAGCAATCCAGCGATGCTAATTCCTCCTTACCCCAAATTTTTCAACAAAATTTTTCTGCAATATCAACAATCATAGAATCATAGAACGGCCTAGGCTGGAATGGACCTTAGAGATCATTTTAATCCAACCTCCCTGTCGCCAGGGACGCCACCTCATGACTAGATCAGGCAACACGTGGGGACTGAACGGGAACAACGTTAGGGCTTCTGCTGTACAAAGAGCAGCTGCTGTCACATTAATGGTGCGCCAATTTATTGCTGAACTGTCTCACACACAGGGCAGGAAAAGCTAATTCCAACATAACTATTACTATGGTCAACTATTCGTCCAAAACAACCCCAAAAGAAGCAAAAAGTCCAAAACAAAAACCACATGTGAAATTTATTAATGAGAAATACAGCAGGAAAATTAGTTGAGGAAAAAGGATCAGAATTGCCAAAGTAATTGCAAAACACAAAAAGAAGAAGACGACAGCAGCTGGCCTATGTAACTGAACTATTTCAGCTCTTTTTCCAAACCCCATGGAAATCAATGAAATCTCATACTCGGTCCTGTATTGGCACTTGCTAATAGGAATAGCATTGACTCGTGCTCCAAGGCTCTGCTTTTCTGCTGCTGCCTGAGAATTCTTAGTGTAATTAAGTTAAGAATTACAAAATACCATACTGAAATAAACACTGGAGAACAAATTATTATAAAATACTCATAAACATGTTCCCCCAAATCAATGCATTGTTTATTTGCGGAATGCTCACAATTGTTTTTTAAGAGAGTAATAAAAATTCTTCACTCACCAGGAGTCCATTCATGATGGCAATGAATTTCCAGAGGACTTAATTTTTTTATACAGCTCAAGAAAAATATTTTTGGATACAAATTTAAAAAAATGTCTTTAAACTAATAGTTCTGTTCCTTAAAATGAGTGGCCTTGCTTACAATGTAAACAATGAAAATTAAAAAAAAAATAAAGAACACAAGTCTGGTAACCTAAATACAATACCCATTGTCTGGACTTCCCTATTTCCATGAAGAACATCTGATTTTCATTTTGGATTAGAACATTCTGCTAAAATTGCTAATATACTGGGACTTAATTTAATTTAATCACAAAATTTCAAGATGAACAGCTTCAGCTGTAATCTTGTTCCACAACTGAGAAGTCACATTTTAACTCTGGAAACAACAATCAAAATTTAATGTTAATTCTGGTCGAACTAAGTTTGGATGATCTCAGAGCGAACAGTAGTTCTCAGCAGAAAAAACAGCACAGAAAACTCCGATCAACTGGCAGCTTTTATCACTGCGCAGCCAGGGAAAATTTGGCTAGAGGTTCGGTATCTTTGTAATTCCAAGAACTTCCAGTATTTTTCTGTGAAGAGACTCTCAAGTGCCAGAGACAAAAACTAGACTTAAAGCGTGCTTAAGTCAATGGTGAGACCAACAATGACAAACTGCTCCCCGGTTTTTCACTTCTTTGGCTGCTCTGTTCCGTGTGTGTGTTGAGGGTGAAAATATATACGGGAATTGTTAGAAATGACAACGTGCTCTGGCTTCTAAGGAAAGAACAAAACATGTGACCTAAGAGGCCAACAACAGCTTCAACACAAAAGACTCCGGAACTGTAACACGAAAGATTTAGTCTAGTTTTTTTGTTGTGCTCCACTCTTTTCATGGAATTCTGGGGAAATACTAGCCTTACTCGGGACACATATGCAAACTATAAAATTTAAAAAATTTCCAACACACAATCTTGACAGAAAATGTACAGGCCAGAAATACATGGGCTGAACCTGTCTGAACTCACTGCTAGTGAGGGCAGACATCTATTTTTGACAAATTTTAAGTAACAATATTTAAAAAACAAACTAGAGGTTGCTCTGCATCTAAAGCAGTACCACACATGGATAGCCTTCATCTTCCTTTAGGAACCCATGACATGAGAGTTGATCAAATACTAGTCTCAGGTAGGATGAATTAAGATAAGGGAAAAAAAAACAAACAAAAAAACAGAAGATAAAGAAACCTTTTTTGATACAAATGTGTTTCAAGTGTAACTTTTGATGTTTAATTGTCAAATCTAGGAAGTACCAGGTCTCAGCACCAGATGTATATTAGAATAATACTCTAGGCACTAGCTGTCCCCGAGGTGAGGGAGGTTGCTGACAAGGGGCAATGGACTGAATGAATATTTCCCTCAACTGACTGTTAAATTACACCTAAACAATCAATTACACTTAACAATCAAGAAAAACAGGTACTGACAATTTCTTATTGCTCAATGGGAACAGAGCTACTGAAAGATGCATGTTTGTACAAGATGAGTGGGAAATCAACCAGTACTCAATTCTAATCTTAAGTACTGGTCTTTTCAAAGAATAAATTTAAATACTTAAATACAAACCAATATAAATTTAAATATAAACCAGCTAACACTTTCAGAGTAACTACTAATGTAATTCACTTCAATTCTCAGTAGCTGAAAAAGAACATACTTGCAAGCATAAATAAATGCTACATTACTTATTTACCGAGATTATTTATTTACCAAGATTATTGTGAGAGAAAAAAGGAAGTAAGAAAAATTCAGATTTTTTTAGTATGACAATCTGTGCAGGAAAAGTGCAAGAAAGAACGATTTATGAAGAGCATTTTTGTATAGCATTCTGATAGAAAACAAAGTCCATTATTGAAATGTGAATTGTTTAGAAGCATTCCTGTGTCAATTTACTACTGCTATTGTGACAAATCAATACAAATAAAATAGGAACCTAGAACTATTATTCAGAGAATTTACTATCAAATAGCATGAAGTTCGAAAATCTGGAAGTTGAATTTTTTTTTTTACTTCAAATCATGCAGATATACACTTAAAGTAAAACATACAGATGACACAAAGTCAAAACTAATGCAAACAGGTGTGACTCAGACTGAGAAATTATGGGTGACATAGGCCATGAGATAAATGAGATGGTACAGTTAAACACAAAGCAAAATACAGATTGGATTGAAGTACGTGAATGAGACAGGATTTCAATGTAAAATGGGGCAGTGATGATATACATCTTGGAAAACTAAAGCAATACTGAGAAAATTTTTAAAATAACAGGAACAGAAGTTTTAAACAAAACTGCACTGGAACAGGACTGGAGCATTTTATAGCAAACTGGAAAGACACAATAGAAGGATGAAACGTTCTGAATATTTAAAAGAAAACATTTGTGGCCTATGCCTGAAATAGTTCCATCTCCCAACAACGAAAAAATCGTCACAGCAAAAGGGAAACCAGGAAAGTATTTGAGAGAAAAAAGTCATAGTGGTTTGCACAGTAACAACGTGCGTGCCCATGTCAGTAAAAGTACAAGGGAGGGAATAAGAACTGTTTTTGTCCAAAGAGTTTTAAAAATACCTTTGGGTGGGGTACAGTGAGAAAAATTAGCTGAAAGCTTGCAAGACAAGATACATTCCAGCTGTTTGTTTTTGTGGACTAACAGATTCTTCCGAATTGCCATTAACATTGGTAGGAGATCATTTAACATTTTCAGATTTTGATTCTGCGATGCCCTGTATAACATGGAAGATGAAAGGAGAAGTTAATGTATTCCAATGCAATTTTTGCAAGACAGGTTTTGCAAGTCACCGTGCAACACTTCAGACCAGAAAACACTT